TACCTATTTTTTAAGCCAAAATATACACCAAAAACTGAAAAAATTTCCCTTTTGGTGATGAAAATTAAAAAAATTTTTGCCTGCGGCGCCGGAATCTGAATTTAAAAGCCTCGGCGCATAATAATTTCGGATTATGTGCCAGATTAAGCATATAGAATATGCTCTTAATGCCAATCATGGGAGGGAGCAACGGCTTTCGGCTTTCGAAATTTAAAAAATTTTCGTCTGCGGCGCAAAAATCAAGATTCTCTCCCTTGCCCCCCCCCCCCCCCCACCCTTGTAAAAAATCATAGTTACTGGCCTGGTTTATGGTCCTACAAATTTATGAGATCATACATAGTCCATACTGGCCTATTAGCGGTTTTAAACGCGAATAATAAAGAAAATAAAACGGTTTTTATAAATTTTTTTAAAAATTAAAATGTTTCGTTTTGTTTCGTTTCATTTCGCTAAATTGTTGGTGTTTCGTCTCGTTTCGTTAACGAAACGTTTTTTAAAATTTTTCTTTCGTTTCGTTTCGTGTGAAAAAATTTTGAAGTTTCGTACAGGTATGATCCGGATCTTACATTTTTTTCAATTTTTTTCAAAGTAATTCAGCGCCTAAGTTAGGATAACTTGTTGGGATAACCCACAATTACGAGATTTGGAAAATTTCAAATTTTCGTTTCATTTCAAAGTTTCGTTTCCTCGAACAAATCCTCTTTATGCGTGTCAGATAATACCAGAATATCTATTTAATTATAAAATTAAATTATCTAAGTTGAACGAGGTTGTGGTAGATGTGATAACGATAAAAATTGCTATGAATGTTCAACTGATTCCTGTAATTCCATACCATTTATTTTATCTCACATTCTGTCTTGTTATACAACACAGGAACAATCTGATTATGATTATTGCTTATCTGGTTATGGTTGCATCTATAAAAAAATAGATCCAGGAAAATGGCAATTTGGATGTGGCATATGTACAGGAAGTGAACCCTGTTATCAATGTAACACTACATTTCCGTAGATCTTTTTAAAGGTAACGAAAAAATTTTTCATAAATATCCTTTCATTCCTAATATTTACGAACCCTTAAATATGCACGCCAATAATGAAGAGCATAACCCAGTTATATTAAAGAATTGGCATTAGATCTTGGTCCTGACTTTCACTTAAGACATTTTATAATGTTTTTAGAATAAGATTTGGGGTGCAGTCTTTGTCTCAACTTATTTATATTTCAATTAGGGTATATTTTGTGTATCCTAAATGGAGCTAAATTTCAGGAGTACCTGAAGATGCAGCGTTAAAAACCTACACCCGACAAGGCTGTGGCAATTGCCCTTCAAATACATCCATTCCTTGCCAAACATGCAACACTACATTGTGTAACTCTCAGAAACTCTTTAATGAAAGTGTTTATTGTTGGACAAAGGAAAATATAACAGAGCCTAATTCTTTCAAATATTGTAAAGAAGGGGAATGTTATACAAGTCGGGACTTGAATGGAAAATGTTTGATATTTATCAGTGATTTTGATAAAAATTATTTTTAGTGGAACAAGGATGTGGGAAATGTAAAGAGAATGATTGTAGAAATTGCAAACAGAAATTTTGTAATACTAAAGAGATTGGGGTTAAACATTGTTGGACTAATAATGGTTCGACCTGTTCAACAGGATATTATGAAAATTGTTTTACTGAGAGAACTGAGACAAATGAATGTAAACTAACTTCAAGAAGACTTGTATTTTTGTTTTTTAAGTAAACAAGGGTTGTGGGAATTGTACTTCTCCAACATGTAAAACATGTAAGGATCATCGTTGTAATGATGGAAAAAATTTCCCCTACTATTGCTTAAATTCTGATGGAACCAGTTTGTTGGAATGTCCATCTCCTAACTGTTACATTGATAAAAGTAACAGCCTGGGCATAGTTTGACTAACAATAATCTGATTTTAGAGTTTAATGCTGGTTGTGGGACTTGTGATGGAAATAATATTGGCATATCTTGTGTAGATTGTAGCGACTTCAAATGCAATTCAAGAAATAAATTCAAAGAGACTGTATTTTGTTATGAAAAAGAAGAAAATGGACAGGTGAAGGAAGGAAGCCGGTCCTGTACCGAGAAAAAGTGTTTTATCTCGGCCGATACTACTAAAGGTAGTCAACAATGATTGACTAATATCTAAATATATTTAAGAAGAGTCTGAGGGAGATTTGAAAAAATATACTCGGCAAGGCTGTGACAAATGCCCTTCTTCAGCTATTCCATGCCAAGCTTGCAATTCTTCGCTTTGTAACACTGAAAAATTGTTTAAGGACAGTCATTATTGTTGGGCTGAGGCTAATACAACCATCCCATGCAAAATTTCAGAATACGGAAATATTTGTTACTATGCTGTCATCAATGATAGTAAAGGTATATGTAGAGGGATTTATTGTTGTAATCAATGAGTAGCTTGGGTAGTCGGTTTGTGGGACCGAGCGGAAAAATTCTCAGTATTCTGCTCGATTCCACAGACCCCTATTCGTATTTTTATCAACGTATTTTTATCAACCCCACAAATCTCCCATACTAAACAGAAATACTAATTTTTAAATAATTTTAGTTGAACAAGGCTGTGGTAATAAAACATCCTGGACTGAAGATAATGTTCTGGCAGCAAAGTGCCAAGATAAACACCTCTGCAATACTAAAAAATTGTTTAATGAAAGTCTATTTTGTTTAAATAAAGAAAAAGATATGTTAGTTGTATCCAAAAGGTCTCTAAAACAATGTGAGGAAGAATGCTTCTTTCATCGACACTCAGATGGGAGAAGTGAGAGATCTGGGATTCAAGAATAAAAATTATTTTTTAGTGGAACAAGGATGTGGGAAATGCACAGAAGCTGATTGCAATAATTGCAAACAAAATTTTTGTAACCATAGAACAATTGGGGTTAAACATTGTTGGACTAATAATGGTTCAACCTGTTCAACTGAATATTATGATAATTGTTTTACTGAGAGAACTAACACAAATGAATGTAAAATGACTAAATAAGATTTGTATTTTTTGTTTTTTAAGTAAACAAGGGATGTGGGAATTGTACTTCTCCAGCATGCAAAACATGTACAGGACATCGTTGTAATGATGGAAATAAATTTCCCTATTATTGTTTTGGTTCTAATGGCGAGAGTTTGTTGGAATGCCCAAATCCTGACTGTTATATTGACGGAGGTATTTAAAATGAAAATTGTTATGTCCCCGCTTAAGTAGACGTTCACAACTGATACTTTATCACACATACAATAAAAGTTGTGGTAAGTAGAAACTGGGAGATGAAGAAGGAATGAACCTAAAATGACTTACAACTTAACTTCGGTACATTCGAGTTCATTATTTCAATATTCGTCTATACCAACTCTTTAAAAAGTGTTATGACCATGTCCTTTTCAAATTCATCCAGAAAGAGTTTGCAAAAGTTTAGCCACCGGGCAGGATTCTGCGACCACCTGCTATTCGTTGCTAGGCGCTTTCGCTCACTATATGCAGGAGCTTTACCTCTGAGTTACCGGGGCGTCGAATCTCTTTTTCCTTTTTAGATCGTTTAACCCCCGCCTAAGCGTTTTAAAAGCTGCTGGATGAATCATCCTTACAATCCTTTATTTATAGATTTAAATGCTGGTTGTGGAACTTGCGATGAAAACAAAATAAACATATCTTGTATTGACTGTAGTGACTTAAAATGCAATTCTAGAAACAAAACAAGCGAAACTATATTTTGCTATGAAAGGGAGGAATCTGGGGAGGAAAAAAAGGGGAAAAGACCTTGTGATAAAAAGATGTGTTATATTAATGTGGATATTTTAAAAGGTCTATCGTTCCCTCCGAGTAATACATTATTTAAAATTCAGCAAAATCTGAGGAAACGGCTTTCGAAAAATTCACTAAACAAGGATGTGGAAATTGCCCTGATAATTCTATTACGTGCAGAACTTGCAACAGCAAGGACTGTAATACTCAGCAATTTTTAAAGGACAGACATTTTTGCTGGATTTCGGAAAACTCGACTGAACAATGCAGTGTTTCAGAACACAAAAGGATTTGTTATTATGCTGTCATCAATGATAATATAGGTATAAAAGTCGTGTCCCATTGCATAGTCCCCTGGTCAGTATACTTTAACCGCACTTTAAGTATTCTGATGACCATTTACATATAAACTTTATATTATGATGACACCTAAACATTACAAAAATAAGTATGATGTAAGGAAATATATGGAAATTATCGAAAATAAATTCACTTCTGTTTTATAATCAAATAAACTCTCCATATAGTGAGGGGATAGATAACCTTGACAATATTGTCTAGATTCGATCTAGAATATATATAGATCCTCCATTAGATTAAGATACGGAAGACAATGTATCCGTATAAAAGTCAGACTAAACTGTTTTAGTTGAACAAGGATGTGGTAGTAAAACATGGAATGAATCAAATATTCGAGCAGCAAAGTGCCAAAATGAACACCTATGCAATACTAAAAATTTGTTTAATGAAAGCCTATTTTGTTTAAATAAAGGAAAGGATGAGTTGAATGAAACAAAAAGTTCCGTTATTCAATGTAATAATGAATGTTTTACTAGACGATATTTGGATGGAAAATGTTTGTTTTTTCATGTTTAGACAAGGAATAGTACCGTTTTTTTGTAGTGGAACAAGGTTGTGGGAATTGCACAGATGTCGATTGCAAAAGTTGCAAAATAAATTTTTGCAATACTAAAGAAATCGGGGTTAAACATTGTTGGACTACTAATGGTTCGACCTGTTCAACTGGATATTATGAAAATTGTTTTACTGAGAGAACTGAGACAAATGAATGTAAACTAACTTCAAGAAGACTTGTATTTTTGTTTTTTAAGTAAACAAGGGTTGTGGGAATTGTACTTCCCCAACATGCAAAACATGTACTGGCCATCGTTGTAATGATGGAAAAAATTTCCCCTACTATTGCTTAAATTCTGATGGAAAGAGCTTGTTGGAATGCTCAAATCCTGAATGTTATATTGATAAAGGTTTGTAATAATAGGGCTAAAAAAGGAGACAAGGTTTTAGATTTAAATGCTGGTTGCGGTACTTGTGATGGAAATAAAATAGACAAATCTTGTATAGATTGTAGCGGCTTCAAATGCAATTCTAGAAATAAACTAGAAGAAAATGTATTTTGTTATGAAAGAGGGGAGAATGATAAGGAGAGGGAAGGCTCCAGACCTTGCGTTGAAAAAACTTGCTTTATCTCTAGAGATCTCTTAAAAGGTATGTACATCCCCCGTTCTAAATGTAACTTACTAAAATATTTTGACATTTCAGGAGAAACAGAAGAAATCTCAATGAAAAAATACACTAAACAAGGATGTTGGAAATGTAATTCAACTAGCATTCCATGCCGCTTATGTAACACAACTCTTTGCAATACAGAAAAGTTTTTCAACCAAGTGAACTATTGCTGGGGCAAAGGAAATTTTGTTGAGCAATGTGATAAGAGTAAATATGGTCTTAATTGCTATTATGCTTCAGACTTTGATAATAAAGGTAGATAAATAGATTTGGCACTTGAGCCGTGATGAAGCTTATTTCCATCACCACCTAATCAATTCTGTTGGTATCGGATAGATCAGTAGTCGATATCTTACTCATATACATATTAAAAACTATTTATACATGATCCTAATTTACAGTCGAACAAGGCTGTGGAGATTTACCAAGAGAATGCTAAATGTAACAGGCCTCTTAAATGTAACAGACCCTATGCTAAATGTAACAGGCCTCTTTGCAACACAAAAGATTTATTTGACAAAACTTTGTTTTGTTTTAATAAAGGAAAAGAAGAGATTGAGGCAAAAAAGGGTATTAAACAATGCAACCATAAATGTTATGTTCACAGACATTTTGATGGAAAATGTTTGTTTTTAATTTTAAATAGCAAATCCTATCTCTTGAGGATAACAAACATCGATTTTCATTTAACGAGAGATTCTGTTGTGATACCTGGCATTTGCTCAGGCCCAATTTAATGCAGTCCCTGCATCAATAAATCATGCTGGAATCACTCCTAAATGACTACTGGCACTGAATGACTAACTAATGACTACTGCACGCTAGCTACCCCTTGATTAAATGCTTTATATAATAATTTAGGCATTAAAAGGAATTTGTGGGAAATTGTTATTATGGGTTATATAAGGGATTTGGAATGATTAAAGTGTGTATTGGTGTAGGGATTTAATGATTACACCCAGAAATTGTTTAGCATTCACGTATGACTCTGTTTAGCTTACTAATAATCTTACTGAATAATCCCTCTTGTTAAATAAATAATCCTTCTTGTTAATACCTTTGTAATTCATTTAATTACGGAAAATTTTTTAGTAGAACAAGGTTGTGGGATATGCCCAAAAAATGTCAGTTCAACTGATTGTTTTGCTTGTAACGAAAAATATTGTAACGAAGAAAAACATGTTGATATGCATTGCTGGTTAAACGATAAAGAGATATGTAAAACTCCATATACTAGCAATTGTTTTACTGAGAGAACAGAAGATAATAAACGTCTTTAATTAATTATTTTACTTTAATAAATAAAATTATTTAAAGTAAAAAAAGGTTGTGGACATTGTGCTTCTTCGACGTGCAACAAATGCTACACACATCGCTGCAATAATGAAAAAGATTATGATTATTTTTGTAGGAGGAAAAGTGGTTTTGATAATATTTGCAAGAATTCGAGCTGTTATATTGCTAATTTAGAGGAAATGGATAAAGGTATACGATAAAAACCTCAAATGTCAAACTCTAAATATATCCATTATTGGATTGAAAGTGACTGATCAGTGTCTAGTTTGGGGTCTTTCCTGATGGTTTTATTCCATCACCTATTTAATTGAACAAACCCACCGCCTGCGATTTGTGATGTAATAAAAGATATAATAACAATAATCCATGATAAATTTTTAACAATCAGCCGTCAATTCTTCTAGTAACTTAAAATATCGGGCCTTCATGAACCGAAACCTTAGATCACTATTCTTTGAACGAGGGCATTACTTCTCATAAATAAACCTTTATAACTCTAATATAGGCAACTATGATTGGAATTGTGGAAATTGTCCAGATATCCAAAACCATCCATTTAAATGTGCAAAATGCAACAATAGTCCTTTTTGTAATACTGTAGAGTTTTACAATAATGCTTTGTTTTGTTGGAATAAGACTGTGGAAATGACTACCCCAATTAGTGATTTGAGAAATTGTGAAAGTCAATGTTTTGTTGCAAGAGATGAAAGTGGGAAAGGTTCGAAAATAAATAGTATCAAGAAGGATCTTAATTTGGGGATGGCCCCCGCCCAAACCACAATACAACATTTAACCACGACCCCGAATTTTTAGAAAATTCGCAAATAGGGATCGAACTAGATCATCTAGAAATATATCGAATCTCTATAAATGAGATTTTTGTTCGAGCCTCGCTTCGCTTTAAACTCTTGTATCTATTGATGGTAACTTTAAATATCATAAAATTTCAGTAACTCAAGGCTGTGGGATTTGCACAACAAATTCTAAAAGTGCAGACTGTGTAAACTGCAATGAGAGGTACTGTAATGAGGAACGACTTGTTCCCAAACAGTGTTGGATAAATGATAAGGAAATATGCAAAACTGAATATGATACTCCTTGCTTTACTGAGAGAACTTTGACTAATCAAAGTCTTAAAATTCTTTTTAAGGATTTTTCCAAAAAATTTTTTTCAAGTTAAAAAAGGTTGTGAGAAATGTTCAAGTTCTTCTACATGTAAACAATGCAATGATAATCGCTGTAATTCTGAGAAAGAATTTCCTTATTTTTGTAAAGGTGTTGATGGAGATAAGGAATGCTCTGAACTTGATTGTTTTATTTCTAAAGGTAGATGGATGATTTAGTGTTAAGTTAGATCAAACGTATTTAGGAAACTAGATTCAGAAGTTGTACTAGAATTAAATAAATTTACTTATAAAACTACATAACTAGATAATCGGCGTTCTTCCGGGCCTGAATCTTACAATCTGTAACAGAAATTTGTCGCAAATCCGTTTACCGAAATCTTTGAATATCGAAAATTTTCGTCAATTTTTCTTTTATATTTGTCCAAGATAAAGCTGCATAAATAAGTATAGTTTATAAAAAAATTTATGATTGCATAATATAACCGTTGTAGAGATAATATGAATGTACTACAAAAATTATAGTCTAATAAGTTAACAAACTAAAACTTTTAGAAAGCTAAACTTTCTATTGTCAGATAACAACCAAAGTTCCTTTGTATATAACTGCGGAAAATGTTCACAATCTTCCGCTGACCTTCCCTCCAACGATATTCAATGCGCAGAATGCAAAAACAGTCCGTTTTGTAATACACCAACATTCTTTGAAGAACAATTGTTTTGTTGGGAGAATTCAAATATTAACAAAGTTGGAATAGTAAAAGGAGCGAGAGTTTGCACGAGTAAATGCTTTGTATCTCGTGATTCAATTAATGGGCAATGTAAGAATAAAAATATTTTTAATAAATGGGCAGGAGGAGAGCAGGAAGAAAGACTTGGGTCACTCAAAGATATATAAGGAATATAATACACAATTAATACACAATAAGTCTTAACGAAGATGGAAGGTTGCCACTCAGACAGAGTCCACTAGCACTCTCCTCACCCATCCAAGGAAAAGTCATCTGACCGTAAAAATCAGACCCTTTAATAACCAATAATCTGTTAAAAAATACTGATTCGAATTAGAGAATGATAAGTCCTGGAAGCTTCTATTTATTGAATAGTTTTCAACTCTTTCCGTTAACTTTGTTAAATTTAACAATTAAGCCATAAACTCTTTTTAAAGTAAATTTTGGCTGTGGTGAATGTGATGACCCTAAACATGACTGCAAAACCTGTACAGAAAAGTATTGCAATGAGGAACGACTTGTTCCCAAGCATTGCTGGATAAACGAAAAAGAAATTTGTAAAACAGATTTTGATATCCCCTGTCATATGGAAAGAATTTCGATAAATGAAAGTAAAAATCTTCTCAATTTAAAAATAATTCTGAGAAATTAAAGCAAAGAAAGGCTGTGGAAACTGTGAAACTAAAGCTTGCAGGAAATGTTTAACTCATCTTTGTAATGATTGGAAGGATACCCCTTACTATTGTTATAGTAATCAGGAAGTAAATGGTGTTAGTGAATGTAGCGATCCTGACTGCTACATTTTGAAGTTGAGGAATAAAAAAGGTAATAAATGGGAGGAAATGGAAGGGTATTAAAAATACCTTAATGAGTAGGGTCGGATTTTGGGTCGTAAAAACCTTAATATAGGTACCTAAATAAGTTATATAAAATGCTAAAATAGGTGACAAATATAGGTAAATAGGTTGTAAAAATAAAAGAAAAAAGTTGAAGAATAAAAAATGTAATAAATGGGAGGAAATGGAAGGGTAGACGAAGAAAAAAGTGTTTAAAAGTTAAACTTTTACACTATGACCAACAAAAGTTCCAAAGAAAAGGTCTGTAGAAACAACAATCCCTATCTTTACTACTAATAATATGTAGTAAAATTATTTTTCAGATAATAAAAATGAATATTATCAAAATTGTGGAAAATGTCCAAAAACACGTTCATCGTTAATCGGCACATTTGACGAAATACTTGAGAAGAGATTAAAAGAAAATTATAATGATGAATTTCAATGTGCAGACTGCAACAATGGGATATTGTGCAACACGGAAAAGTTTATAGAGGAGAAATTGTTTTGTTTAGAGAGGTCACTTAACGACTCGATAGTTGTCAAGGGATCTAGTGTATGCGAAGAGCAATGCTTTGTATCGAGAAATAATTTAACAGGATATGGTAGTTGTTTAAATTATGTTGCTAAATTTAAATAGTAACAGAAACTAATCCTGGTATTGTTATCAATTATAGGGAAGCTTAGGATATCTGAAACCTAACCAATAAACCCGCATTCTTCTTTTTGAATCAGAATCACCAACAGTCTTCACTGAAGATCAAAGACTGCGGTTGGCAGATTCGGCTATGCAGTTGTCGAATTTCTAGCTGGTGTAGAATTAGATATAAATGAGCTATCCGAACATTTTGATTTAATACCGATCCATTACTGAGACAAATGTCAGATTAGGCATTTACATTATAAAACACCATGATACACAAAATCCACCCCCTCTACTTCCTATTATTACAGTAACACAAGGATGTGGATCTTGTCCAACAAACGATACCACAGAATGTCAAGAATGCAAAGAGGTTTACTGCAACGAGGAAAGTAAAGTATACAAGCATTGCTTGACCGATAATGCTGGGATATGTAAAACACCTTTTGATGCACCTTGTTATTTATGGAGAACTCCATCAAATGAGGGTTTTGAATAAATAATCAAATAAAAATCCTTTTTTAAACTTAAAGTCAAAAAAGGATGTGGAATATGTCCTTTTTTCAATTGTAAAGAATGTAATACTCATCGTTGCAATGAAGAATCAAAATTGCCATTTTATTGCTTTGGATTTATGGCTAGTTATAAAGAATGTAGTGAATCTATATGTTATATTGCTAAAATTGAGGAGAAAATAGGAGGTGGTTTATTTCTTAGATTAAGGCTGATATTCTAGTATCGGATTAAAAATATGTTAAAGAAAATTATTAATCCAATCAAATCTGACAAGTCCGAAGAATATCATTTTATTTATGTGCATATTATGGATGGGATGTAGGCTCTCTTCTGCCTCCCACAGTACCCAGATTCATCTTTCCTGACCCAACCTTTGCGCATTTACTTAAATCGAGTTTAATTCTCGATTAAAGGATGAAAACTTATAATAAAAAGTTCTCAAAAATAAATTTAAGACCAGAAAATTCAACAATATCACTACGATTGTGGAAAATGCCCCTCTAATATTCTTGATTTATCACCACACATCAAAACTAAGGAAACGACTTTCCTAAATAAATTTAAAAATCTTGATATGTCCAAAATGCAATGTGCAGAATGCAGCAACAGTCCGGCATGTAACGCTGATACTTATTTTGAGAAACAAATGTTTTGTTGGGAAAAGGATGTTAAAAAGTGGACACCAACTAAAGGGAGGAGGGTTTGTGGAGAATCGTGTTTTATTGGAGTTGATCAGATTGAAATGAGTAAATTTTTATATTTAAATGAAAAGTCTTAAATGGTTGGGCCTGAATATAAGATGCCCCATGTGACCGAAAATTTCGTAATATAATGAGGAGTACACATTTACTCAATAGCCATGTTGAGTTAAATGACGAATTTCAAATTGAGGTTTATTTTATACTGTATTTCGACCTTAATAGACATTTTGACATATTTCTAGGTTTTGTGCAAGGCTGTGGTAGCTGCCCTTCTCACTTGGAAAAATGCGCGACTTGTAATACCCCGTATTGCAATGTCAAGAATATACTTCCAACTATAAAGTGTCACTACAACATTCCTAAAACGAAGCTTTATAAGAAAAAAGCGAAAAAATGTCACCCTATGTATACTCATTGCTATATTGCTAAGGATAAATTTGGGAGAGGTAATAATTTGAATTTTTGGTTCTTCCATTTTAATCTCAAAAAGATTTTACTCTAGATGGTATTTACTTTAGGTACTAATTTTATAGTGTGCTTTTAATGCTGAATTTATCAAAATTATTTCTCGAGTTGAAAATCTATTGGTCTGAGGTTGTTCTTGTCCCCGAGGGGCGAGGTTTGGGATTTTAATTTCCGATCCCCCTCCTTTCCGTGTAATTTCTCCTGATCCCGCAATTTACTCAATAGGGACTCTAATATACATATTCTCTATTTTCCTCTCATAAATAATTATCATATATGCTCGAATAATTACCCTCTCCCTTGCTCACCTCAATAATTACCAACTAATTACTGATTATATCCGTCAAAAAGTTATTATTAGATTTTCTAAAATATTTCCGAATAATAAACTCCTCTTCGTTAATTTATCCACCATCGATGTGTTTAAACAATAATTAGCTAGGATTCATTCGAGCATTTACTTAACCAATAAAAATGATAAAATCTGCTTGAGGGTATATAGAAAGTATTTGGAATTTTCTCTGGAATTTTATTTTTAAATTTAAGTGGAGCAAAATTGTGGCTTGTGCCCTTCAGAATACAAAAGTTGTTTAAGTTGTACTGACAAGGATTTGTGCAATACTGAAGTGGCTTTTAAAGATTCAACAATATTTTAAACATTAAAAACAGACTTTAATTAATTTTTAAAGTTAATTGTGTTGTGTTTAACTTAAATTGTGTAAATTTTATTTTTGATAAAATAATTTTTAAAAATGCCAAATAAATTGGAAAAAAATTTCCTCTAAATTTTTTGAGTTCGTTAATGGAATTTTGACGGCCGTAGTTATTGCATAGAAATAGCCGTCACTTCTGAAACATATTTAGATTCAAATTTTTATGTAATTACAGAAAAATATATGTTAGATATTTTCAAAAGTCCGGCTTCCGTCTAGCCCCTATTTCAATAGTTTATACATTAATTGTATTTCACAATAATTACATAAATCTATTTGTTGTCACATCGCCCTCGTTAGGGATGCACTTTTTGACTGGAAGTCAATAAAAATAAAAAAATATTATAAAAAATTATTTTAAATTGCCCTTTTATTGTCAATTAAGAAATCTAAAATTTTGGCCAAATTGTTAAGCAAGATTGGGCTGGCATTATTTACAAATGATGTAAAACTATTTCCTGACGCAAAGGGCGAATTTTCTAAAATTTAGACAAGTTAAAATTGCATCATAAAAAATGTTTGTTGATGAAATCATTGGTGGCGATTTGAACTTAACCATGATTAAAATCAAGTTCTTGTCAGAAATAGACCCGAAAATGAACATTTCATATGTTTCAATCATATTTAGGTAAATTGTCTAAAATAAATTAATATTACAGATGAATATTTGCAAAATTTTACCATTTATTTTGCTATATTTAACTTCAAAATGCTACTCGACTGGTCCGGCAACTTCAATACATAGTCCATCGAATTCAGATATTGAACGATTTTTTATGGTTAGCATTATTTTATAAAAATTAAAATTTCGATTTATTAAGGACATTGAAAGAGAAATTGCTGGTAAATTATCTAATCCTTATATATAACTCTAAAAAATATAATTTTAGATGGAGGTAAAGCTGAAATTGAAAGTTCTGTTTCATGTTCAGAAAATTTAGAGTGCCAAATGCCCTCAACTGATCTAAATTATCAATCACAGATGGTTGATAGTAAAATCCAACAAAACCGAAAAAGAAAACTATCCCCTACAAATACTTTTCCTCATCAACATGATGAAAGCCATCATATGTTAGCAAATAAAATTCAGAAAAATGAATACGGTAACCCGTCTTCAGCAATTTTAAATTCTTCAATTATACAGGGGTATGCTTTTACAATTAGACAACCTTATAAAATAAAGGATTGCTAAATGTTCAACTCGATTTATGGATCAAGTTGAGCATGAATCGAACGGTCGTTCCGCTAGAAAGAGAAAATTAATTAAAAAAAGAAATTATGTATAACATAATTTTTGTTCCAGTCCTAGTATTGATGATGCTTTTGAAAAGATTAATGAAAATGGAATTGAGAAATATCATTGTAAATATCATTACAACAATCAACGTTGTTCTAGTAAGATTATTAAATCGATGGGCAAAACGTCAAATTTATGGAAACATTTAAGAGAAAGCCATCCTAAAGAACATGATATATTGAAAGCCCAAATTGCGGAATATGGAAGTTTGTTTTCAACATATTTTTAAATAAAAATTCGGGGCCACGGTCACTTTTGAGCTTTACGTTCCTATGACAAGTCAATCACTGCCGAGACCAGAGATTCCGTAATTGTATTAAGCTTAGATTGACGAACTCTACTCAGTTCAGCTGCTTTTTCATTGGGAAACTCTTTTATCGAAGATCTATAGCAGCACTATTCTATTCAGATCGGCAGCTGACGAACTGAATAGAATGACACCAAAAATAAGCTAGGCTAACCTATTGGAGTCGTTGATTACTGCTCTTCACGCGGTTTGCCCTAGAGTAACCTTAACCTATCCTAACCTTAAAACAATAGAATTAATAAAAGAAAGGAAAAACGTGACTAGGGGGCTTTTTAGCCAATGCGCTTATGTATTCGCTTATAATTTTTTTTATTTTAGAAACGAAGAGAGATTGAGACAGTTGTTAGAAATGTGAAAACATGTCGAAATGTCAGAGTTATATATTAGAAATATTATTCTCATTTAATTTATAAGAAAAAGGAAATTTAAATTATAAATTAAGTATATTTCCAGAAAATTTTCAAAAGTTTTATTTCTTCGCAATGTTGATTTATATAAATGCACTTTTTTATTTTGTAAATTATTTGTTTATAATTGTTGTCTTTGTTTGTGGCAACAATGTATAAATAGAGCATTGAAGCCACACATGATGTATTAGGGCATTTTCCACACCAACCTTTTCGGTAAAATTCAAGTTCGTTCCCCCTCCTTTTCCCATCTTCAAAGTATTAAAAAATGGTCAGTCAGTCTTAGGTTATAGAACTCGTCGAGCTGTGTCGAATGACACCAAAATCAAAAAAATCCGTCTTGATTTGACCGAGATATAAACTCCTGAAAATTGAAAAACCATATGGGTGTGGTATGTTTGTGTTGTCCTGAAATAATCCCACTCGATGCAACAATAAAGTCCATTTGTGCAGGATTGGTTAAATATTTACATTCAAACATTTTATTTTTATTATTTCCGTTTAAACATTTAATTTAAAAAATTTTTACCATTTGAAAATTTTATTATTTAAACAAAATGGTCAGTCAAAATGGTCAAGTTATATATTATTTGTCCACGTTGGTAGACTTATATTTTTCCAGAATAATTAGGCATTTTGTATTGAGTTGCTCGATATATGTCTTATAAATAGAACCTAATTGTGGCGTTAGACGTCGTTTGTATTTTTCTTTAATGATAGAAAATATAATTGAAATTATCCGTTTAATTATACATATCACTACCATTACGTTTGGCATTCCTTTTTGGTCTCGAAAATTTAGGTGTCAAGTTATATATTATTTGTATATGGAATTGTGTTGCCTCGTTTGTTTCCTTGAAATTGAATAATAGAAAATAAAATTTTTTAATGGAATAGTTTGTCGCGAAATGCGACTTGTTTATTTTAAATTTTACCCTTTTGTCCCTTGTCCTTTTTTGTTAAAAATATTTTTATTTTTAAAATTCTATTTTTAATCATGCGTAATCGAATACGACTACTTCTTTCAAATTCTTTCTATTATTCATTGCACTTTATATATTTTTGCTATTTTTATGTTAAAACCCTCCCATTTTTCCTCTATTTAAACGTTAGGAATTTAGGGTATAATCAGAGTTTATTCTTTAAATTCTCACTGATAAGAGTTTATTTTGTAAATTCTCAGAATTAAGAGTTAACTTTGTGTAAAGATTCTCTCGAGCTTTTCTAATTGTAATAGATTTTGGTTGAATAAAAGTTGTGTAACTTTTAGAATTTTGATTTGATTAAAATAAAGAGTTTATCTTAGAACTTAAAGAGTTTAATTTAAGTCTTCTAAGTTTAGAGTTCTTTGACTGAGAAATAATTGTGTTTCAATTTGGTTAAATTTGAGTTTTCTAGAGATTTCTAGAATTTTATTTATAAAATTTAGATTGCATAAAAAGATTTAAATATAGTTATGTTTAAACTTCCTGATTCTTTTGAAATATTGTGTAATATTTTAACTGTTGAATAAATTTGATTTTGAAAGAAATTGATTTTGACTTGAAAAGAAAAGATTAAAAATAGAAAATATTGTTTATTCGTTGGAATAAACTAAAGAAAACTTAAATAAATAAATTTAAAGAATCTAGGAAAATTTATTTATTTTTAAGATTGTCCAGCAAAAACATTTAATTTTAAATTTATTTGTTTTTTCGACATATTTGAATAGGATTTAATGGAACCTTCTGAACTTGTAAATATAGGAATTCATCAAAAAATTCCAAAACTATTTGATGAAAAATCTCGAATTTTTGGTTAAGCTTGTCAATGATGGTCGATAAAGTTGGGAAACCTTTCAAGAATTTTGGTTTAGGCTTAATGTTTTTAATTGCGAGAAAAACGACTGTGTCAAAATATAATAATAGTGTATAAAAATTACAGGCATAAACTTTTAATTAGTATGAAAAATCGGGGAAATAAAATTTGATTCGCATATAAACTGGACAAAAGCTAATATTTTTATCAAAAAAGTAATTCAATTACAGTGAATAAAAATAAAAAATTAGATGTAAAAATTTAACAAAAGCAAATAAAATACCCAAAATTTTTAACTTTAATTTAAAAATGAAATTTGTTTAAAGGAATACGCACAACAAAAAAAGCTTACAAACTCAAAAATAAAAAAAATTATTCAAATATTATTTTCAAACTCCTACCGATTTTAGACAAAAATTATCTGTTATCAAATTAAAATTGATTTATTTATAAATATTTTGATTATTGTAAGCAAAAAATTTTTTGCATATCCCTTGATAATTTCATAGAAAAACA